ACAACCCGAATAGTCGCGAGCGTCGAGTGTCGTTTCACGCTCGCACCCTCGTCTCTCTCCTCTCTCCTCTCTTACCGCCGTGGCCATGGCCGCGACAACAATGATCTTAGCCACGATCGAACGCATTGCCTATTATTCTTCATAACAAGATGTTACCACCCCTCTCCGAGAAGGACAGTCCTGACTCTCCGAAAGAACACTCAACATTTCCTCACAAATTTATTAAGTTGAAAATCAGATTCCAGGATCCAGAAATCTTGTCTCACCAGCCAACAATGTTTTCGAGATAACGGCTTTCGGCGCTGCCCCTCGGACAAGCCGAAGAGTTTCCAGGCTCCACGAGTTCCCCGCCAATGTTGGGAGCTTGGAGAACCACCTGTGGCGCACCAGTCCCTTCGGCAGCTGACTTCCTTTCGTCCCGGAAGTCCCTAAAACAAATAGGGCCCCTGAGAGCTCCGTCACGTTCTAATGGCCTGTCGCGGACTTCCCCCGTCTCGGAGTTCGGCACCGGCTTCCCGTTTCCGTCGCCCACACCCTCTTCAAGCCTATTTCTGTACCCTTTTACCTGTAAGCCGCGTGGTTTCCAACAAGACGTTTTGACAGGCCCTGTGGAGTCCTACCCCCTTCGTTCCCTTGGGTAGGTTCCGACACATGTCCAAATTCTGACCCTGCAACCAACTGGAAGTTTGACTACCTCACACAATCCGCAACCCTTCCTTCGGAAACTCCCTTGAGGACTGGGTTTCATCACTTGCAGCGCCCATCGTACAGGGCAAATGAAAAGTGTAACCGGGGTGAAAAGGGTGTTACATTTACTTAATTATGAATGTTGTTACATCAAGGCCGAAAATTAGGATGAGCGCCAACGGTCAAAAATGTTTTTTCCACTCCCAGAGCTACCAGCGCAGCGCCCCCCAGATCTGGCGCCCCAGGCGACCGCCTATGTCGCCTATGCCAAAAATCGGCCCTGCCTAAATACAGTGGCAATGTCTCAAGATTTAGCAAAAATACACCTTTATTGAACATATAAATACTACAAATCCACATAACAAACAATCAAAAATGAAAAAGGGTCACCACTTATTGTTATTTTAATTAAAAAAACAATATATATATATATTATTTTTTTGGTACCTGGCTGGCGCACCCTAGCAGCGCTGCGCTGCGCCGCCACTATTTGTATATAGGGGAAACACTGACCTGATATGACACCTATGACCCAATGCATCCCTAAAAATGCATCCCTAAAAATGCAAAGGCATAACAATATATAAACATATTAGTTACAAAAACCAGGCTCTATACTTGTGTATTTTTGCTGTTGAGTTGGGCATTTTAACATTGTGGTCTGCAGAGATTGACTCCCTTTTAGAGCCAGCACCAAGTTTTCATTTGAAATAACGCTTTTGGCCTTTTTTGGTGCTGCTCAGCCCTGTAGTTTGTTGCTTGGTCATGACACAATTTAGCTTCCACCTAGTTGTTCAGATTTAGGAGACACAGAGTCTGGCAAGTTTGATAAGGACAAGGAGGACAGGTGTTCCTACTTTAATAAAATGGTGTGTTGTGTCCTCATGCGCAAGCACGGGACAAACCAAAATGTGACCCACTAATAGAAAAATTGCACCATAGCACCATTAGAGTTCTTGAACACCACAGGGAGCCTTTTAGCAGGAGCAGAGAGGTTTTCTGTTGAATTGTTTAATCTTGAAGCATCCAGCACTAAGTCTATAAAGGAATGCCCCTACAAACACAGTTAAGATAATCTTGTGTTCAACACTTAAACTCCTGACTATTCACAAAGTTGTATTGAAACCTTTTTTTAGAACATTGGATATTTAAACCTTTCTGAGCCTGAGGCTGCATATTGATCAGCTTCGAGTTGGAGATGGGATTCTCATGGTCCGACTTATGCTTTGATTTTGGGCTGAGCACAGAGTCAGCTTATTCCCCTTTGATCTTTTTGACATGTGAAGCAATGAAGAGAATGTTCCTTACTGGTTAAATATCCTTCAAATGTTGGGTTACTTTCTTGTTGCATCATTAGTTTCATGTGACATCTTTTCTGGTTGTACACTTTATTCAGAAATCACATTTATACTTTATGGCTTTAGGGAACAATAGCATAGAGTTGTTAGCCTACTTGGAAACATGTAAGAATCAAATCAGGAATTCTCAGTCAAACTCACACACACCATCCTGCTGACGTAAATACTCAAAAGTACACTACATGTTTATTCATCCACAGCTGAAAATAGTTGCCAGGCATCTCTGTAGAAGAAACATTTCTTAAAATAGTTTCGTAGCATAGCAACCTTGTAAAAATCCCAAGAACAAGAACATTTGCCAGAACATATTCGGATTTAGGTGCGTTTTATACCTGCCAGTTTAATCTGTTCATGGAGTTGACACAAACTTTTGCATCACAACAGAAATGCACTTCTGCCCATATTTCAGTCGTCTAGTCATGGTGTCCTCTTTTCATTTTTAGCTGACAGGAGTCTAACCCAGCATGCTCTCCTGATTCTGAAGCCTTAAAAACTCAAGTTTGAGTGAGTTGTGTTTTCATGGCCTCGCCCTTGCGTTTTGCCCGTTCTCACTTTCAGTGGAAATCTAACTGAACCTCTCAGCACCGTCTGCTTATGTTTTATATATGCATGACTCACTCTCTGAAGAAGTGAGCCGTGTGTGTAAGGTGGGAGGTGAACCATGTCAAGTTCATACTTTTTATTCTTTCAAAAAATATGTTCATTTTGACATTTTCGGTACAGAATCTGGAGCAGCCTGTTGGTTTATTTACAGCTTCCCAAGCCTAGCAGACATGGTATGGTGCTTTAAAATGTTCAATAGGAAGACATTTAAAAGTGGTTTCTGTTAAACATACTTTTTGGCGGACTGGGTTTCAAGTGCACGAAAGTAAGCCAATTAGAAAGTGTTTTTAATAGCCACCTAGGATGCACAGTATTTTAGCGTTTTGTACATCAGTTATAATGACAATGAGCTCATTTTAAAATAATATGTAGAATCTGTAGCAGCCTGTTGGTTTATTTACAGCTTCTCGAGCCTAGCAAAACATGGTGTAGTGTGTTAAAATGTGGAATATTGAGGCATTTAAAAGTTGTTTTTGATAAACAATTTAGATACTACCCAACCCTAACCCTAATTTTAACTGGGCTTCAAGTGCATAAAAGCTAGGCCATTTCAAAGCTTTCTTTTAGCTGTACTGTATTGGAATGTTTTGTATTTCAGTAATAATGACAATAAGCTATTTTGTATTAAATTGAAATCTATTTTGACTGTGGGTTACAGTCATTTTGGCTCCTGTTTGCTTAACCTCCTGATAATCCAAGCAGACTACATCAATGTTTGGCCATCGTTGAGTTTCTGTCGGCCCAAGTTTTTGCATTGTTTCCTAAAAAGTCAACACTTTATAGCCCCCGTTCAGCCTTTGAATTGGAGGCGAACACTCTCTGTAAAATAAATCAATTGGTGCATAAAAAAGAATAGACTTGATGAAAAGTAATGACTACGACCAACAGCGCACACACAGTCTATTTTAATTTTTCTTCTCATCTGGTCATTCAAATACAAAGATGTTTTTTGGACGAGTAAGAGTTTTGTGATAATTTCACGCATACATTTTGTTTTAATGTGTGTATCTCAACAATTGCTTGTACATCTACAGTTCTATGTTTCTACGGTTTCCCTTTTTTGAAGATAGATTACAGACTGCCTCTACACAGCACAGAGGGAACTTGCTAGTTGGCTGTTGGCTGGAGTCTTCCATGTTTATTCCGATATGACTTAAATGAATGAATTGGCCAAGACGCAGACAGAGTGAGGCAACGCAACAGTCCGCTCTGTAGCCGCTACTTCTTTGATGTCTGTTTGGTGTGTCAGGGCCTTTTAAACATTTACACACTGAGCGACAAAAGTTGACAGTTCAGAGAGAATGGTCAAATATTTTGGTTGCAACCCAAAAATATCCCTGTGAGATACTGCTGCTAAGAGCCTTACCTACAAACCTTCTGTAAATACAAAGGTCCTGACTAATTTCCTGATTATAGGACTGCTTTCTGCACTGTAAAAAGATAAGGAGGACTGTTAGCCTCCACATATGTTATTACATCATGAGTAGCAATAGGGGGAAGTGCAGTTTCTATGATGGGAGGGGTTAGCTAATCAACTCAAATCCCATTTGATTGGATTTATGTATGTATTGGAATTTAACATATCTACACATTAAACAAGGACTTGGCAACAATTCCTTTTTAGTTTTCCATTTCCATTGTAGTGTTTCATTTAACAAGGCAACAATCACACAATCTTGGTGTGAGGAGGAGATGCATTTGTTAGCTTCTAGTTTGGTCAAACCAACAGTAAGAGCTCAATAGTATCTAAGAAACGGGGAAACCCAAGACCAAAAGCTTTACTCATTTTCATCTTGTTACCGCCCATAAATTGTGAAGATAATTGAATCAAAACAGTTTAAAAAAAGGATGGGTACACACTGTAAAATAATGTCTATTTATGATGCCTTGTTACTAGTAACATGTGGTTGTGACAAGTTCAGGGATTTCTAGTAGTTGTCAAGATTAAAAGTAATTTATAAAGCAGAAATGTGGTTTTGTTTTCTGCCTACTTATCCTGTTAATTATCAATCAGCTTTATTTTGAGGCCACAAGTGTTGGTGGTCACAGAATGGTGAATATTCTCTCAACTAGTCTAGTAAATCTTAATTTTCGAACAAAAAATAAACCTGGATCAAGTGAAGGTAGGGATTTTAAACATCGTGATTTTGAAGGTGTTTGCATAACATTTTTTAATGTGGGGAAAAAAATTACAAAAATACAAAATAACCACTGGTTAGGCCTGCTACCCTAAAATTGCTGAACAATATCAACCTTTACCGACAACACTTGATCACTTTTCTTTCTCTAACAGAGCTAAACACAGCATGTCATGTCTAATCTATGTATGTCTTTCTTAAGTGCTTTGGCACTAGACATAAACAACCTGTTTTGACACTTATTGACTCCATATAGAACCACCTGACCTTGCGAGCAGAGCATGAATAATTTCACCATCACAGAACGTGCCAGGACTCAGATGTGTTCCATCCTGACACAGAGCTGCCTGTGATCTGCATGTCATTATGATAATATTGCCCTGGGATATCTTGAGGAATAAACATGAGCATTGAGAGGGATGAGATGGGGTTTTAGGTGTTTGAATCTATGCGCTCTTGTTCAGTCCAGGGATTTGGGGGGGCTTAAGTGGTAATCGGATTGGTGGGCTACACATGCTGGTTTTTATCCCTGCTCTACTTTGTAAGCATTGATGATTCCAGTGTGAAGAGAGCCAGAGCTGGTGTTTCAGCTGTCAGAAACTGGCACCAAACAGAGACAC